GTGGCTCAAGCCTGTAATCCCAGCACTTTGGGAGGCCGAGGCGGGTGGATCACGAGGTCAAGAGATCGAGACCATCCTGGTCAACATGGTGAAACCGCGTCTCTACTAAAAGTACAAAAAATTAGCTGGGCATGGTGGTGCGTGCCTGTAGTCCCAGCTACTCAGGAGGCTGAGGCAGGAGAATTGCCTGAACCCAGGAGGCGGAGGTTGCGGTGAGCCAAGATCGCGCCATTGCACTCCAGCCTGGGTAACATGAGTGAAACTCCGTCTCAAAAAAAAAAAAAAAGGTAATACATTTGGTTACATTGCAGAAATGAGAAAACACACCCAATAAAATAAAAAACAAAACAACTAGCCAGTTGTTACAGATATTTGGGTTTAGTGATCGATTTCCTGTGACAGATAGCATCATACATAGCATTGAAAAGTGCTATCATCTAAACTTTGATGTAAGTAAAGATGAAGACCTACAGTAAACTGAAAGATACACAAGAATATGAAAAAATATTTTATAAAATATGAGGGAAAAGTAGTTTGAAACAAATAATTTAGTTTACATGTGATTTTAAAATATTTATGTATAACTATGTTAATAATATTGTATATAGATATATCTATTCATCTGTATCCTCAACGTTTATATATTGAAGTTGGTAAAAACTTATAGTATTTTCTAACTTAGGAATAAGTGGTACTCATCTTTTATTCGAGTACTCAATGTTCAGGCACATATGGTACACTGTTATTTTTATTTTTTAAATGTTGTTTTATTCTTTTATTACACACAGGGTTTCCCTATGTTGCCCAGGCTGGTCTTGAACTCCTGGACTCAGGGAATCCTCCTGCCTTGGCCTTCCAAAGTGCTGGGACTACCGGTATGAGCCACTGTGCCTGGCCATGGCACATTATTTATAGTATGAAAACACTAAGAAACCATCAGTAGCTTTATAATAATCATGTACAACAAACTCTTAAAGAGTTTTAGTATAATTTGCTTTTTCATAGACTACAGAAATTTTCCAGATTGGAAATTCACAAGAAAAAATTATTCCCAGAAATTACTCATAAAACTCTAAAATAATAGAAATCTTATTTCAGATGTCCTCCAAATATGTATATTTTTTACAAAACCACAGCTTGGTGTATCCAGAGAGCTGTTTTCAAATAATAACAATAAGATATGTCTCACACCTAAAATCCCAGCACTTTGGGAGGCTGAGGCAGGTGATCGCTTGAGTCCAGGAGTTTGAGATCAGCCTGGGAACACGGCGAAACCCTATCTCTATAAAAAATACAAATACTGGCTGGGGATCATGGTGGGTGCCTATAGTCCCAGCTACTAGGGAGGCTGAGGTGGGAGGATCACTTGAACCAGGGAGGTCAAGGCTTAGTGAGCTGTGATCCACTCCAGCCTGGGTGATAGTGAGACACTGTCTCCAAAAAAGACACAAACAAAACAAAACCCAAATCCCACAAGAATACATCATTACTGTGCATTGGTGTACATGAATTTGGCTAAAAATGTATGCATGTTGTCAAGTGGGACCAGCATCAACTCCTCCTGTTGACAGGAAGTCAAGTGCTGCTGTTTTAGAAGAGCCTCTATTTGGGCCTTGATGTCCTCTGTCTTCTTCTGTTCACTAACCTTAGCCTGTTGCTCAACTGCTTGTGCTTTTTCTTTCTCCACTCTGCAGGAAAAAAAGAAGAAACTTATCAGAACCTACCCTATTAGGCATCTGGCATCTAATATACGTGAAATCTGGTTGATTTTCACATCATACAAAGGTATTATATTATTTTGACTTAAAAATAAAACATTTGAGGCCGGGCGCGGTGGCTCAAGCCTGTAATCCCAGCACTTTGGGAGGCCGAGGCGGGTGGATCACGAGCTCAAGAGATCGTCTGAGACCATCCTGGTCAACATGGTGAAACCCTGTCTCTACTAAAAATACAAAACATTAGCTGGGCATGGTGGCACGTGCCTGTAATCCCAGCTACTCAGGAGGTTGAGGCAGGAGAATTGCCTGAACCCAGGAGGCGGAGGTTGCAGTGAGCCGAGATCGCGCAATTGCACTCCAGCCTGGGTAACAAGAGTGAAACTCCGTCTCAAAAATAAAAAAACAAACAAATAAATAAATAAAATAAAATAAAACATTTGGTCATGCAAGGTGGCTCATGCCTGTAATCCCAGCACTGTGGGAGGCCGAAGCAGGCAGATCACTTGAGGTCAAGCGCTCAAGACCACCAGCCTGGCCAACATGATGAAACCCCATCTCTATTAAAAATACAAAAGTTAGTCAGGGCTGGGCATGGTGGCTCACACCTGCAATCCTAGCACTCTGGGAGGCTAAGGCAGGTGAACTGCTTGAGGTCTGGAGTTTCACCCTGGCCAACATGGTAAAACCTTGTCTCTATTGAAAATACAAAAAATTAGCTGGGTGTGGTGGTAGGCACCTGTAATTCCAGCTCTTGGGAGGGTAAAGCAGGAGAACTCCTTGAACCTGGGAGGTGGAGTTTGCAGTGAGCTGAAACTGTGACACTGTACTTCAGCTTGTGTGACAGAGCAAGACTCTGTCTTAAAAACAAAAAAAAAGGCTGGGTACAATGGCTCATGCCTCTAATCCAGCACTCTGGGAGTCTGAGGTGGGCAGATCATGAGGTCAGGAGTTTGAGACCAGCCTGCCTAACATAGTGAAACCCTGTCTCTACCAAAAATACAAAAAAATTAGCCGGGCCTGGTGGCAGGCACCTGTAATTCCAGCTACTTCAGAGGCTGAGACAAGGAGAACTGCTTGCACCTGGGAGGTGGAGGCTGCAGTGAGACAAAACCATGCCACTGCACTCCAGCTCGGGCGATAGTGCGAAACTCTGTCCCAAAAAAAAAAAAAAGTTAGCCAGGAGTGGTGGCACATGCCTGCAATCCCAGCTACTTGGGAGGCTGAGGCAGGAGAACTGCTTGAATCTGGGAGGCAGAGGTTGCAGTAAGCTGAGATTGTGCCACGGCACTCCAGCCTGGGGGACAGAGCAAAACTCTATCTCAAAAATAAAATTAAAAAAATAAATAAATAAAAATAAAACATTTATGGTAAGTAGAAATCAACAAATGGGCAAGATATTAAAACTAAGAGAGAGGACCTTACTAAACTATTTACAGCTAGCACTTAAAATCAAAGGTGGAGTAAAGTCAAGCTAGGATTCACTCAATAAACAAAGTGAAAATTCTTTCACCTTGGGCGGGGTGGCTCATGCCTGTAATCTCATCACTCTGGGAGGCAAGGTGGGTTGATTGCTTGAGCCCAGGAGTTTGAGACCAGCCTGGACAACATAGCAAGACCCCGTCTCTGTACAAAAAATACAAACATTAGCTGGGCGTGGTGGCATGCACATGTAGTCCCAACTACTAGGGAAGCTGAGGTGGGAGGATCGCTTGAGCCTGGGAGGCAGAGGTTGCAGTGAGCCAAGATTGCACTACTGCACTCCAGCCTGGGTGACAGAGCAAGATCCTGTCTCAAAAGAAAAAA